GCCACCCGGCGAGAGTGGAGATGGAGCCGAGGAGGAAGTATCGGATGTAGAAGCAAATGCGGTGTCAATGAGGGTCATCTCAGATATGTCGCGGATGGTAACAAATCTGCAAAGTTGTTAACGCGGTGCTTGGTTCCCTGCTGTGATTAAAAAGCGGATTTATCGTCTCGAAGTCCACCCTGCTGAAGACGGGGCACAAAATGGCTCGAAGAGGAGAAAGAGTCTGTACTTCAAAGATTCAGCATCCACGAACATCCATTTCCTATCTAGTTCGAGGCCGCGTCGCGTGAGGTAGGAGCTCTTGATAGAGATTCCGCGGCACGACTTTATTGGGTAGACGCGGAGTTCTGTGATCTCGCTGATGGTCGAAGGACCAGAGAATGGATTCAGTTTCTCGAACATTGTTGCTTATATTACGATTCTAGAAACTTTTCCCTAGTTGCTGATAGAAAAAGATATTGGAATGGAAGATGGGGATATAAGATGCCGTGTGGAGGGCGTCGGTGACGTTCTTGAGTGGGGTACTGCGGCCGCTTTAGCGAGCTCGCCCCCTTTCAGAATTGCCGAAGCCCCTTGACTAAAACTTCTAGTCCAAAGTAGAATATTATCCACCTGGTATTGCATGTCACAGTGGCATAGAAATTTCTCCCTTTAGAATTTTTGGCTGTTTTATTTTTATATATTATTGAAAGAATATCTAGCGACTTTCGTTTTATCATATGTAATATTCCAATTTTACCCAGATCCTTAGATGAGGCGAAGGTTTCCTATCTACGCCGAACTGTAACAGGCTGCCACTATGTAAGTGAGGCTGTGAAAAAATACTGGCACATGTCAAGCTGAACTCATTTTGCGTTCTCACAAGATGCAAAGAGAGATTATCTCGTGGTGCACAGGCCACCTGGGCTGCCATGATTGCACGCACAACCACAACTGCGTTATTTCGCTGCCTCGCGGTTTCGTGATAGAACGTCTCGACGGATGCAATTAGAACATTCTGCCCCAGTGGCGGCGTATAGGAGAATACCTCTCTGGCCAACTATTTCATCATTTGAAGTAGCATCACGTGGATATCACGTGCCACTTTACCATTTATCAACTCACCTACCACAGTGTCCCCACTAGACGAGATGCACTAAGCTGGCCTCACTTTGCTTCATTTTATTCTATCTAATCTAAGCATACTGCGACACGAGTACAAATGTGCGCGAGTTACCCTGCCAGCTGGCATTTCGCGCTTGAAAACACTCTGATGTCATCGGCCCTTGCCAGCTAAAATTAGCGCGTTTGGCAAATCGACTTGCGTATATCGCAAGTTCGCAACATTTGTAACAACTTTCGCTCGCAGTGCGCATCTCTGCCACCACCCCCAATACAAAGCAACATGCGATAACACAGCCCTGAACGCCACCATGTCCGGTATCTCAGGCTTCCTGAACGGCACGATCAATGGAGCTACGGGATCAGCGCAGGGTAGAGAAGGGACGACAATTACGACATTCGTCATCTCCTTGGCCGCTGGTTTTATCCTCTTTGCAGTTCAGTTTGGTACCTTCCTTGTAATTAGGAATTACCTATGGGCCAAACGGATTTATCAACCAAGATCTTTCTTGGTACCCGTCAAGCAAAGGATCAAAGCACCTCACAACAATCCGTTCAAATGGCTCTTCACGCTTTTCAAGATCAAAGAAGATCCCGAGGTCCTAGGAAAAGCTGGCATGGATGCATATTTTTTTCTCAGGTTTCTCAGCATGTGCCTAAAAATCTTTACCCCGATGGCCATCCTTATTATGCCCATTTTGATCCCGCTGAACGTCAAGCAAGGAAAAGGAACCAACACTATCAGCGGCGTTACGTACAATATCACGGGACTGGATACTTTGGCTTGGTCGAATGTCTCACCAGAAAATACTAGCAGGTATTGGGCGCATCTCATCTTGGCAATCGGAGTTGTGGTCTGGGCTTGCTTTATGTTTCATCAGGAATTGAGTCACTACATCGCCAAACGAGAAGAGTACATCAGCAGCCTGGGTCACAGATTAAAAGCATCAAGCACAACTGTCCTCATTCAGGACATTCCAAAAAAGCTCTGCAATGAAGAAGCGCTGGAGGAGCTATATGGGGATTTTCCGGGTGGCATCCGCCGAATTTGGATCAATCGAGATTTTACCATTCTTGTGAACAAAGACAAGCTTCGGAAGTATTACGAAAACCTTCTAGAAAATACCGAGACCAATCTGCTTCGGAAAGTGGCCAAAAGGAGCCGCAAGGCAAAATTGCGCCAGAGAGGAGAACCGACGCAAATTGCTCCAGAACAAATGGCCCTAGACATCCAATCCGAAGAAGGCCGAGTTTCGCATTCTGCGCATCCAGAGATGGGGCCCCCAACCCCAGAAGCTTGTCGACATGATTTGGAATATGACCTGGAAACCAAAGCCGCATGGACCAGATTCCTAACGCCGGAACAACGGGCGACGATGAGGATACCAAAAGACGGACACCCGGCCGCAGCCAGAATTCCCCTCATTGGCCGTTTCTTTACTACGAAAGTTGACACAATCTACTACTGCCGTAGAGAACTTGCTCGACTAAATAAGGAAATCGAAATAGATGCCAAGACACCAGACGCATATCCACAAAATTTATCGGCCTTTGTCCAATTCAATTCCCAAAAAGCAGCACACCTCGCTTGCCAATCTGTTGCGGATACCACACCTAGGCATATGAGGAGAAGGCTTGTTGAAATCTCACCAGGAGACATCAACTGGCCCAGCTTAAATCTGCCCTGGCGTGCTCGCTATCTCCGCCTTGCGGGCTTTCTTGTCCTTTTCGCCATTCTGCTATTTGCTTTTGGTATCATCGCGTTTTTCACCGGTATACTGTCCAGAGTCTCCACGCTATCTGGGTCAACTTCTTGGCTCAACTGGATCGGGAATCTCCCTCCGTGGCTGCTCTCCTTCATACAAGGTACTCTCCCGCCTCTCATCCAAGTGATTGTTCTTAGCGGACCACTTCCCATCCTTCTTCGCCTCCTCACAAATAGGACCAGAGGTGCAACAACTGGCCAGGAGGGGGAGCGGTCACTTCAGTTGTGGTACTTTATTTTCCTGATCTTCGAACTTTTTATTATACCCACTATCTCCTCGGGTCTTACCAGCATCGTTAGCGAACTTATTCGTACCCCGACTTCAGTACCAAACATTCTTGCAACCAATTTACCCACGGCCGCCAACTACTACTTTTCGTTCTTGATCTTGCAAGCACTGTCCTTGAGTGCAACCTCAATTTTGCAGACTATTCGATTATTCAAATTCTATGTCATTGGCCATGTAAATACGCCTGACTCGGTGTTCGAAAAATTGAGCTGGACAAACTTCACGCGCATTGGAAGCAATATTCCATGGTATATTACCTTTGCAGTTATCGGTACGTAACACCTCATCCACGATTACCGCTCTTACCCTAACCTCGAATTAGGACTTGTCTATTCGACTATCGCTCCACTTATGCTATTGTTTATGCTTATCACCTTCAGCCTCTTTTGGGTAGTTATCAAGAATAACTTACTTTATTGCGTACGAACAGGCACTGTTGACGGAGGAGGACTATTTTTTCCTAGTGCCATCAACCAAATGTTCACCGGCCTTTACTTCATGGAAATCTGCCTCATTGGTCTATTTTTCTTGGTGCGCGACACTCGAGGCCACGTCGCATGCGATGTGCAGGGTGTCATCATGGCGGCGGTTTTTGTCTTTACGATCTTGTATCAGATATGGCTGATGAACCATCTCGCTCCCTTGTTCAAATATGCCCCTGTCCGATTGGACGTCGAGACCAAAGCCTTACTAGCAGATTACCAAGAGAAACGAAACGCGACCCAGGAGACCTCAGAAGCCGACAATCATGATCCCCAAGACGAAGAAAAAGAAGCTTTGGATCTGTCGAGCCACACTGCGCCTCACACCCAGGATACCGAGACTGGCCAAGAACCCGAATTGAGCACTCCCCACAGGCCGCCCTTTTGGGAGAGACAGTCATCAAATCGATCTAAAGATTTACAAGCTCAACAGCGCGAAGATGCCAAATCTGCCGAGCGCATCCTTGCCCGCCTCAATCAGCCGCTCGACGAAGCCCGATTAGCACATCTCGAAAAGAAATTAGCCAAGACCGAAGCAGGTATCAGCAGCTTTCTCCTGCCGCGACGCAAAGACATAGAAGCACAGATGCTCGACGATCCTATTTCAAAAATCATCATGCAGCACAATGATGAGCTGGAAAACCTAGATCCCGAGGAACGCGACATGTTGATTTCGGTGGCATTCATGCATCCCGTCTTACGAGAGACAAGTCCAAGCGTTTGGATCCCGACGGATGAAGCAGGGGTCAGTGATGACGAAGTTAGGAGGACGAGAGAGCTGAGTCGGGATGTCGTGATTGATAATAGAGGGGCGTACTTTGATCGGAAACTGAAGGTGCAGGTCAACAAGCCACCACCAGATATGTCTGAGTTCGCGCTTATTATGGCGGAACTGTAGTTACGATGATTTTATTCGAAGCGATCTATACTTTGCAACGATAATAGATATATTGTCTAATTAATCAACTGTACAAAAACCAATATTCGCAGCCTTCTGCAGATGTTTACGCTGTCTATCAGTTATTGCTCGCCACCCGAGTAGACTTGATGGTGAGCGGATTCACAAAAACATGGCATGCATACATAGTGTGTACTGATCCGAGTAGCTCAGACTTTAGTTGATGTACTACTGAATCAAATTTTGGACATGTCATACCTAGTTAGAACATGTGGGCAATAAAATCAAGATTTAAGACGATTCGAAATCTTCATGATTTTGGTGTTCCCACATTGGCCCACATCGCACCTTCCGCCTCGCTTAAACTTCCGCCCTCGACAATATCCCGCAACTTAAAACTTCAAATACCGACCAAAAAATATATTTCATCAATTTGCTCAAATACTGGCTAAAGGCAAAAGGATTTGACCAGACTGAGGCTCGAACTCAGGACCTTGTCCGTTCCATAAGATGTTAAGGACACGTGATAACCAACTACACCATCCGGCCAATTGTATGTTTGTTGATGCCAAAACGCTTATTTGAATATATACGGCAAACAACAATAATTCTTTGTAGCCCCACTTCTGGATGTTAGCCGAATCACGTGGGTAGCTCTGACACGAGGCAAGAACCCTCGGAGCACATTTTGTTTATCTCGTCCTGCTGGTGGTATGGAATATATGTCTCTAACCTCAGCAAAGAACCCATCCGCCTTCTCCTCATACCTCTTGGTTTCGAAGCTCCATTCCAGCTCGCAGCAAAAGTTTTCTCATCACACGATAGACAACCCAAACAAGTCCCCAGCCCGCATCAGTGTGCTTCTTTCGAACTCTTCGAGTTAAACTTTAACATGCGTACTATAAACAGACTTGTAGATGAATACGGGTTTACCCGGATAGACCCGGGTACAGAGGCTACGGGTACTACCCAAGTAGAAATTTGGTGGGTAGGGTACCAACCTGGCGGGTACCGGGTTTTACCCTGGATATCCGTCCATTTTGGGAACTAATAAAGTTTATTTTTAGAAAAAAATTAAAATATATTTCTTTAATTATTACTATTAATTACATTATTAAAAAGTAAAATAAATATATTATGTATTAATTATAAAAATATATTTTAAAAAATAAATTTGTAATAGTAATAATAAGCTTAAAGTGCTGCCGGCTTTATATCGGGCCGAGGCAGATAATCGGTGCCTAAGGCATAAAAGTGAAGTTGCAGTTATTCGTACTTTGAAAACGGGACTAGTGATTTCTAGCGATTTTATTAGCTACCGGCGCTTATAAACGTTTTTCCGCGTCACGTGTACGGATACCCGGATAAAACCGAATAACCTCATATTTTACGGGTAACCGCCCGGCCACTTTTCACTGGGTGGAGTAACCGCCCGGCACCCCCCCTGGGTACGACCCGGGTTACCCATCTACAAGTCTGACTATAAACTTCTCTTCGCGTAAAATTTGCGGGTAGTATTCTGCAGCCTCAGTCGGAGACGCTATTGAAACCATCGAATTCTCAATATGACTCGCTTTTCTTCCATAAGTGTTCGTAGCTCCCGCGCGGCCTGACACACAACTATTCCACATTTTCAAGTACCAATCTCCTTCTCATAGCAACTAAAACAATACCCCCAGACACATATTCTGCTCTTTTTTTCTATCTTATTGGAAGGTCTCATCATACTGTTATTATTCAAAACCTGGGGTGCCTCTGGAAAACGTAATGATAAATTATCTCGGGTCCGCCAACCCCTATGGAGCAATTCATTTTTGAGATAGTAGTTTTATATCGTTTACATCCAACAAAAGATTCAAACTTCCTATTCCAACCCAGAATTTGTCTTGAAGCAACATTTCTGAAAATATATCATAAGGCTCTTTTTATTTCTTTATTCCCACACGAATCCAAAGATGCACACGCCACAATGCAGCTCAATTATGATGAAGCTGCTGCGGCTGGTTTCCAGGACAAGACCCCGTACAAGCCAGCCCCGACGTCTTTTGGTTCGCAATATTCGAGCACAAGTATTCCACCGTGTCGCCGTTCTTCTGCTTGATATCAATATTCTCAAAAGTCAAATTCTGACAAACAGCAGCACCACTACAATGAATTCCGGCGCCAACATTATACCTCGCCGTCCCTGAAATATTCTCCCAACGCACATTTGAGATCTGCAGCCTCGAGGCATCGCAATTGGAATATGAGTAGATACAAGGCGAGACGTAGATAGGTTGGTTGACGTCTGTAAACTTTATGTTTTTGAACGTGACATTACGAATATGGCCTGGCCCGTTCGGATATGTTTTGAGCCACGCGGCATTGCTGCTGTGGATGAGAGTTATATTGTCGAAGACAATGTTGTCGACATAGTCTGGTGTCCCGGCATCCTTTCCAATGCTACCAACACACATCCCGCCTGATTCATGACAGACGACATTGCTTACATGGACATTAGTGCTGTTTCCTTTGATTGAGATGCAGTCCTATATTGGAAAGTCAGCGAGGAGTCCCCGGGGCAAAGAATTCTCAAAGTGGTGATAAGCTTGCTTACATCTCCGCAGGTCACCGTCCAATTCGAGATCACGATGTCCTTCGAATTCCATGTGTCAGTCCCATCGGTATTCACAGTCTTGTACTGCGAGTTCGATGTCGCATTCATATCCATATTGGTCATCGTAATATTCTGAGAATGCGCAATGAACGTATGCCTGTTCTCTCACATTAGTACACTCCTTTCCTCTCATCACTTATCTCATCCTTGAATTTCAGACTCGCCCTGTGCTACTCACCAAAACTGCACCTGCCTCCACGTAATCCTGTCCACCAACGCATTTTTCGCATTCCATAGCGTAAAACTAATCGGTCTTCCATTCTGATTTCCCTGATTCCTGTTCTCATCATACCATTTCTGTCCATTTCCATCAAACACCACCCCATACCCTCTAATAGTGAAATTGTCCCCACCAATCCTCCACGACGTGCTACGTCCTGCATATACCACCGAAATTGAATGTGAAAGCCAGTACTGGATATCTGTGCTCCAGATCCAGGTCCCGCGCAATGTTACATCGCAATTATTGAGCGTAATGTCCATTATTTGATTGATATGGTACGTCCCGTCTTCGAAAGAGATGCTGCCATCTTTGCCGCATTGTTTGAAGGCAGCGAGGATTTGAGGCGTGTCATCGATTGTACCAGATGCGCTGGCACCAGAGGAGAGAGGTGTTACAGTACATGCTGTGCCGATTTGTGTTACGGCTCCCAGAGCTGTGCTCAATAAGAGTGCGGACGAAGTCAGTAGAGGTAATAGCATCTTAACTTCGTTTCTTTACCATTCATCTTTCGGAAATTGCGAACACATATCAGTTATATGTGGGGCAGAAGCTTTTTATAATATGAGAGCCCATGATAGGAAGTGATTTTATGGTAAAGTTTGTATAAGTTCGGGCGGCGGGAGAAAATTTGCCGGGTTTAGGCAAGGGTGGAAGATTATCCGTACATGAATCGAACATTAAAATGCGGGGTGCAGCGCATGTGCGTGTTTCTATAGATGAAATGTTTCTAAAGAACGAAATACGCTGATCCCTGAATATCATGGGTGGACTGCGTCTCAGCAAGCACCTCTTAGTCACACTCCAAGTCACGACGGGCCGAGACAACGACAGAGTGCTACGATGACGGCTTCTTGTGTAAGTGCGCTATGAATCTAGATCCTGTTACCATCATATAAGATAATACCAAGAGTTAAACAGCATGCACCGTGTCCACGAGTTTCGGGAGGTTGATAATTTTGAGTAAGGAGACAAAAAATCCTCCAACTGTCTAACTTTTTGTTCTCCGGTTCCCATGTGTCTCAGATATAAAGGCTACCGACACAATTTGTATAAGTAGGAAATTGCTCATTATTACCTTAACAAGAACGATCACATTGGTTGCTACTTCTTTTCTATCATGTGGTATCCATTGGACTTCCGCCTTCTATTGTAATCGCCGCCAACGCAATTTCTGCGTCACTCACCACCTGTGCCATAACGCTATCACTGGGATCTGCTGCGTACAAAGGTTTCGCCTCTTGTAGAGCCCTTTGCAAAAATGCTCCTTGTCTCCTCGCATTCCCACTTAACTCGTTGACTCCAAGTGCAAGATTCGTTTGGCATCTAATATCTGTGAATCGTGACTCACTCAGCACGTCAAGCCCGTCCCAAGCTTCTTGCGGACTTTCGGGATTCGCTATCCCCGCTTTACACATGTTAAAGGATGTCAGGTGGTAAGCAAATTCCGCCCTCTCGAACAGATCGAGTCTACCATGTCTTCTCTGTCATATAGCGAGGTATTGAAGCCGAATCTTCGTTCTCACGACATCTGATTTGAGTTGTGCAGCTAAAATGCCCAAGTTTCTTTCATCTTCGGCGGGGCTGTTGGTTGGTGGTATAACTATTTTCCCCCTTTTGACACAATTACTGACTTGCGCCGCAGTTGCATATTTTTTGAATGGATATCGGGAGCCCTTTTCGTAGCAAACGCCAAATACGCGAGGCGCTACTAGCACCTTCGATCCGTATTTTGGCACTGTGGTTTGCCAAAACGAGGGTTGCTGCACGCTTTCTACAAAAGCCATATGTAGAGGCCAATGAATGTCGTAGTCCCTGTCTTTATATTTGCCATGATTGCGAAAGCGCATAGGACCCCCCTGGCTCCCAAATTGGCCAGTGCCAAAATAAAACCAAGATGGCCACTGTGCTACCAGGCGACCCAATGCCATTTCGTGCAATGTGCTAGGATCTCGTTTGTGGAGAGGAATGACCATTCCACCAAAAGTCTTTTATTATATTAGCTCAAGATTTCAGGAAAGGAAAATGGACCAACAGCGTTTTCCCATGATCTACTAAGCTTGCAGAGATTCTGATCTTTAAAGGACTAAAAACAATTTAGATACCGATCTTGTGGTGCCATGGAAGTTGTGTATACAGGCTCTGGTCCAACAGGTGGAATGTTGGGCATCGTGGTTCTGATATAGGCTCCAAGAGCATGCTGCAGTAATTAATTTGCTGTATTCAATCATCGAGTCTTGAATGCTCTTACCATTGTCTCGTAGCAGAGCTGTACAGAAATTAGTTTCGTCAGGCATTTGCAAAATGTACCACTCACTGTTTTAGCCACTGCAAATTGCTCCACAAGTCGCTCCGATACTGAAAGATCGTCCTTCAACAATGGGAGCACGATTTCCGAAGAAAGATGTATTACGCCTCCTGGGTAGTCTCTCGGTCTACTCTGAAAAGAGCGAAAAGAAACGTACCAACCAAGAGAAAGTGGTTTGTCGCTTCTAGGTGGTTGCTTGTTGAGATGTGCAACCCTCGATTTGATTTTAAAGTTGATCTTGGATGTAAAGATCGCAACATGGAAGTTGAAGAATTCTGTAGCGCCTGATGCTGGAGTTTGACGGAGGTGAAAAGAATATGTTTCATAAAGAATATTTGCCGTTGGACATCCATCTTGGCATTGTT